TGTGAGACGTGGACGCTGACAAAAGCAATGGAAAGTAACCTCAGATACTTTGAGAGAAAAATCCTCAGAAAGATCTTCGGTCCCTATCACGATCCGAATACTAACCAATACCGAATGAGAACAAATGCCAAGGTCAAACAAATGTATTGTGCTAGCGACGTAGTACAAGAGATTAAATCCCAACGTCTAAGATGGGCTGGCCATGTTCATAGGCTCCCTAATAACCGCCTTACCAAGTTAATCTGGGAAGAAGTTCCGACAGGGAGAAGGCCCTTAGGACGTCCACGAATGCGATGTAGAGATAATATATGATCAGATTTGAGAACAGTGGGGCTACCCACTGACTTAAAGGTTCGAGATGGAAGCAGGTTGTGCAGTCAGCCAAGACCCACCCCGGGTTGTAGTGCTACCAGAAGAAGAAGAAGATAGTTTTCCTTTACATCTTACCATAGCTATGTTATCTTTATATATATATATATATATATATATATATATATATATATATATTCTCAATGAAATCCACAAGGAAAACAATTCCTGTAGCTGGCTGTATACCACGTATCACAAAAAAGAGGTTAGTCTTCGTAAGTGGGTATATTTATTTAAAAACCCTTAAAAGGGCTACATAAAAAAAACAAACGTTTTCGGACTAAAAAGTCCATCATCAGGTTTAAAATCGCTAGGTTAAAATGCCTGAGCCACCAAAAATACAACAATACAAATGTCTTTTACAACTATATGTAATTTAAAGGGTTTTTACCCATGTATTTTTGGTGGCTCAGGCATTTTAACCTAGCGATTTTAAACCTGATGATGGACTGTATCGAGTCCCGAATTCTCACTCTATCAAACGCTTTCTTCAAATCTATAGGCCCGTTTTCACACTACATCTTATTGTACGTTTTGTGGGTCATATAAAACGTACGACAAAATGTACGTTTTGTCCAGTGTATACACACTACGTTTTTCCTTCCGAGAAGACGTACGTTTTGCTGTTTACATGCCACGTTTGATTGTATAGGATTTGTCCTATCCAACAAAACGTACAATAAGACGTAGCATGAAAACGGGCCTTATTATCAGACACATATGTGCTGGTTTATTGTATTCCAGCGACTTTTCTTTTATTTGTCTTATTACAAAAACTGCATCCGTGCATGATCTTCCTGTCCGAAATCATTGCTGTTAATCTTGCAGAGATATTCGTTCGTTTATTTTTGTCGCTATTATTCTTGTTGTCAATTTTAGTGTTGTGTTTAAAAGATTTATTGCTTGATAATTATTGGGGTCTTTCTTATCTCCTTTTTTGAAGAACATCACCATGATCGCTCTCCTCCATTCATCTGGTATTATGTTCGTGGTAATTATTTTATTAATAAGAAGTTGCAGTTGTTGTACAAGGTAATCACCTCCATATTTTTAGAGTTCGTTTGGTATTTGATTATCACCTGGTGACTTCCTGTTTATTAATTTGTTTATTCCTTCTTTCACATCGTTTTGGGAGATTTCGGTCTTTTCCTCAGTTATTGGCGTTTCTGGTAAAGGTTCTTCTTTTTGTTTTTTAAATATTTCTGTCAAAAAGACCACCCATGTGTCCTCTTGTATGTGTTCTATTTCAACTAGTTCTTTCATTTCGCTTCTTTGTTGTCTTATGAAGCGCCATACTTGTTTTTGTTGTCCATAAAAATCCATCTCTAGTCCTTTTGTGAATCTTTCCCAGTAGTATATTTTTATTTTTCTTACCAATTGATGAATTTCAGTTCTTATTCTTTTATATTCTTCATATGATTCATCCGTTTTTTCTGACTTATATTTTAGAAAAGCTTTCTTTTTTGATGACATTTTTGTTTATCCTCTAGTGTAAACAATGGTGTTTTCGTTGACCACTTTTCAGGCAGCATCCAGAATATTTTTCTTAAGTTTTCTTCAGCTAGTCTCTACATTGCTTTCATTTTCGATATTCTCCATGTGGATTTTCTGTTCTAGCCTTTTTTGATATAATGATTTTATGAAGTCATCCCTTAAATTTTCTACTTTTATTATTTTCTCTGTATTGGTTTGTTTAAGCTTCTCTTTCCATCTTTCATTGAATATAATTTTACCAAGTACTAAAATAGTGATCGCTTCCCACATTGGTTGACCTTCTCACATCCACTATCTGTTTATAATGAATATTTCTGATTGTGACCACATAATCTATCATTAATCTATGTCCTCCTGTATTTTCAAACGTGTCTTTGTGTTGAATTTTATGATAAAAAAATGTGTTGGTTATTCTCAGTTCGTTTGATGTGCAGAATTTCACCATTTTCTTTCCGTTTTCATTGATAACTCTTTCGTTAAACCTTTGTTTTATTCCTGGTATTACTTTGTCTCCTATTCTGGCATTGAAATCTGCCAATAATATAAGTTATTCATTTTGCTTCACTTCTCTTTCCACTAATATTTGTAGCTCATCATAGAATTCTTCTTTATCGCTGTCAGGTTTGCAGTCTTCTGGTTCATGTATCCCTATTATGTTAATATTTTTGCTGTTTGCCCTAATTTTTACTAAAAGTATTCTCTAAGATATGTACTGGCACTCTTTAATTTGATCTTTATATTTTGTTTTGATCATTATTGCTACACCTTCCTTTGCTCTTTCTTGTTTCGGAACCCCACTATATATTAGTAAATATTCTCCAAGCCGCGTCTGTCCTTTACCTTTCCTCTTTGTTTCCAGTAGGGCGCAGATATCTATTTGATATTTTCTCAACTCTTTTTCTGGCAACATGACCTATCAACATGGCGTTGATAGGAAATATTAAAGCTCTTACCGGTGTTCCAGAAGAATTTGAATCCTACGTGGAAAGATTAGAACATTTGTTCACTGTTAATAAGGTTGAAGAAAATATGAAGGTTTCAATGTTAATCGTACTAGGAGGTATGAGTCTTTTTCAGGTGTTAAACAACTTAGTGACCCCGAAGAAACCAACAGAATTTACGTTCCAAGAAGTGAAAGGAAAATTAATTAAACATTTTTCTCTACCTTAATCTACGAACATTTTGTTTTCAATCGGCGTGAACAAAAAGCTGATCAATCTGTCTCTGATTACAGTGTAGTGCTAAGGAAGTTGGCAAATTCTTGTAATTTTAGACAGTTTCTAGAAGAGGTTCTAAGGGATAAGTTTGTTTGTGGGACTAGAGACGAAGGATCACAAAAGAGTTGTTGGGTGAGGTAGATTTAACATTTCAGAATGCTTGTCAGTTAGCTTTGGCCTCAGAAATAGCACAGAAACAAGTTAAGTTGTTATCCGAGGGAGGTAATATAAATGTAATAAACAGAGGCAAGCATATAAATCCAAAGTTTGGATCAACTCTCAGTGCAGATTTAAGTTGTAAAAATTGCAGAAGTCGTCATAGAGGTAAATGTCCAGCTGAAAAATGGAGATGTTTTAATTGTACAAAATTGGGTCCTGTCAAGAATTTATGTCCAGATATTCGACCACAACCTATAAATATAGTACAAGAAAAAGAGTATAACATTGAGAGTGATGAGGTAAATAATGACATATTTAATCTTCATACAGTGAGTGATGTATCAAATTCTGCATATCATGTAACCCTTCTTCTTCTTCTTCAGGTGCCATCTCCGCTACGGAGGTTGGAAATCATCATGGCTATCTTAATTTTTGAGGCAGTAGCTCTAAATAGTTGTTTTTGAGCTGCATCCAAACCATTCTCTCAGGTTCTTCAGCCATGAAATTCGTCTTCTTCCGATGCTTCTTCTGCCATCTATTTTTCCTTGCATTATGAGTCGCAGGATGCCATACTTATCGCCCCGCATCACATGTCCGAGATACTGTAGCTTTCTTTCTTTAATTGTAAGTTCAATTTCCTTCTCTTTGCCTATTCTTCTCAGTATTTCATTGTTTGTAACTCTATCTACCCAGGAAACCCTCATAATTCTTCTATAGGTCCACATTTCAAAGGCGTTAAGTCGTCTCATGGTATCTAGATTTAACGTCCATGATTCCACTCCATAATATAGTACACTGCATACGTAACATTTTGTTAGGCGTACTTTAAGAGCTAATGTTAGATCTTTGCCACATAGGACCTTTTTCATTTTTATAAAATTAGAACGCGCTTTTTCGATTCTGACTTTGATTTCTGCCGTGTAGTCATTATTTTGTGTTATAAGTGTTCCTAGGTAAGTGTACTTTTTTACTCTTTCGATCTGCTGGCCCTCTACTATCAAGATTTCGTTAGTATTATAGTTGTTTTTACAAATTTTCATAAACTTCGTCTTTTTGACATTAAGAGAGAGTCCGTACTCCCTACTACACATGACTATTTTGCTCATGAGTCTTTCCAGGTCTTGTAAACTCTTTTAAACATGTAACCCTAAAGATAAACAATAATAATTTAACCTTTGAATTAGATACTGGTGTCTGTAGAACAGTAATGTTTGTATCCAAATTTAAAGATGTACTAAATCTAGCTTTAGCACCTGTAAATTACAAACTTACTGCTGTTTCAGGTCAACCTATTAAAGCTGTAGGTGAATGTACATTATGGGAGTAAAACATGTGAGTTGCCATTGGCAGTTATAGAGTCAGGTAAGGAATTCACGCCACTGCTTGGAAGGAATTGGCTCAATATCTTGTTTTCTGATAGGAAAGCTATATTTTGTATAGATGGGCAAATCAGTCATGTAAATGAACGAGAATATTTAATGGAGTCTATTAAAAATAAATATAAATTATTATTTGATGGCAATATGTGTAGTTAAATCAAACATTTTGAAGTAAAATTTAATGTTAAAGATAATGTGATTCCTATTTTTAAAAAGGCATACTCAATGCCATATGCTATCAAGCCATTAGTTGAAAGAAAATTAGATCAGATGGTTCAAGTCGGTATTTTAAAACCTGTCAAACATAGTGAATGGGCTTCACTTATTGTAGTTGTAGCTAAGAGAAACACTGAGGGTATTAGAATTTGCACTGATTTTCAAGTTAAGGTACGATTCCGAACACGACCGCAAACTGCAAACTGCAAACCGCAGACCGCAGACCGCAGCGACAGACCTACTGGTTCATATGGTTTCTTATGAGCTGTATGTCGAGTAGAGCGGCACTGTCGCCACCGCAAGCAGAACGTCGCCACCGCAAACCGCAGGACTGCACCAGAACCAGTAGTGTCGCCGACCGCAGAGTGACAACACGTATTTTTGCTGTTTCTGAATATATCTTCGTTAGCCATTAGATGATTTTTAATGAGTATTGAATAACTTCCTTCAAATTGTCTATTTTTAAATAGAGACCTAGTCGGTTTCCTTTTTCTTTTATGATCCAAAAGTAAAAGATCGTCGTCATCTTCTTCTTCCATCAAAAGATGTAACATTAATTCATCGTTGTTCATTGCGTCTGACATCCTACTTATACGACTTTTAATATTATACTATTATAAATTCCCATCGTGTAATAATGTTGTCGCTGTTTTGTAGATGCAGTGTAGTTCTGCTCGGAATTGGTCTGACCGCAGACGACACTGTCGCTGCAGTCTGCGGTTTGCGGCCGAGCAGAACTGCACTGCATCTACAAAACAGCGACAGCATTGCACGATGGGAATTTATAATAGTATAATACTAAAAGTCGTATAAGTAGGATGTCAGACGCAATGAACAACGATGAATTAATGTTATATCTTTTGATGGAAGAAGAAGATGAAGACGATCTTTTACTTTTGCATTATACAAGAAAAAGAAAACCAACTAGGTTATATCTATATTTAAAAATAGACAATTTAAAGGAAGTTATTCAATACTCATTAAAAAGCATCCAATGGATAACGAAGATATATTCAGAAACAGCAAAATACGTGTTGTCACTATGCTGTCGGCGACACTACTGGTTCTGGTGCAGTCCTGCGGTCTGCGGTGGCAACGTTCTGCTTGCGGTGGCGACAGTGCCGCTCTACTCGACATACAGCTCATAAGAAACCATATGAACCAGTAGGTCTGTCGCTGCAGCCTGCGGTCTGCGGTTTGTAGTTTGCAGTTTGCGGTCGCGTTCGGAATCGTACCTTTACCGTAAATAAAGTTTTAAGTGTAGAGCAATACCCGTTACCACTACCTGAGGATCTTTTTGCAAGTTTAGCCGGAGGTAAAATATTTTGTTGTATAGATTTGAGGTGCCTATCAACAACTTTCAAATAAATGGGAACTTTCAAAAATATTTAACTATAAATACACATATTGGCTTATTTAGGTTTACTAGGTTAACATATGGTATAGCAAGTGCATCAGCAATTTTTTAATCGGTAATGGATCAGATCTTAGCAGGTATATCAAATGTTCATTGCTATTTAGATGATATCCTTATTTCGGGTACTTCAATAGAATATGTAAGTAGATTACTGGAAATAGTTTTAACAGATTTAGTAGTTATATTACCAAGGTAATTGCTCTGAAATGTTTATTTTTTTTAAGATCAGGTTGAATATCTTCGTCACCGTATAGACAAAGATGGTATTCATCCTACTAGTGATAAATTAAGAGCTATTAAAGAGGCACCTGAACCGAAAGCTATAACACAACTCCGATCTTACTTAGGATTAATTAATTACTATAGTAAATTTATCCCTATGTTATCAGGCTGCTTAAAACCGTTATATAAATAATTGGAAAAGAATGTAAAATTTAATTTTAATGCAGAATATAAAGCTGCTTTTTCCTTAAGTAAGGAGTTAATTGAGGCAAATCAAGTTCTGGCACATTATTATCCTAATAAAAGTGTACCTACAGGCTTATTTAGGAATCACAAGAGTAATGCCAGTATTCTTTAAAGCATATTCTAAAGGCATTATTAAATCTTTGCAATCTTGTGAGATCGGGGAGAAAGAAACTAATGTACTAAAAATACACCAAACAAAAAGAATTATACCAAATTACTTAGTTACACACTTGAGAATTCTGAAGAAAGTTTATGTTCTAAAAGGATTAATGCCTAATGAGGAAATATGTTAAATGTCTATACAACTATGTAGAAATAGTTGCATAGCTATTGGGCCTGTTTAGGAGTCACTAATGGAACGTATTTGGTTTCATGTTGCGACGGTTCTCCATTGTCGGAGAGAAGTCCATATTTGGCTCGTCTTCTGTTCCTGTTTAAGCTGTGTAGACCGCTAGCAAGTTGGCCACACATATATGCAGAGAACTCATTGTTAAGAGTAGTTTCACTTTTATCTTGATCATCCGTGCAGATTATTGGAAACTAAATAAGTAATGCGCCATACCAAATTATTTGGGTTATTCGTTCTTCTTCTTAACGTGCCCTATCAAGTCCCCTTGACGTTGGCAATTAACATGGCGAAACTGTCTCTGTCTCGAGCTATTCTAAAGAGCTTGCTCGGCTTTCCTTATTACTGTCCACTCCCTGATATTCTTCAACCAAGAGGCCTGCTTTCTACCAATTCCTCTGCGAATTCCTCTTCTTCCCGGTTATTCGTTAGGAAATATATATTATTGGGTAATTGCGAATACATCACAAGTTGTGGTGGTTTGTTTGTTTCCGAGTACATGGAATTGTCACCATTAAGTGATGGTATTAATTGATGTCAAAAAAAAGAACGTAGATTAAGATGGTTTGGTCATATTCAACGTCGAGAAGATAAACACCCAATACAAAGAATTGCTGATCTGCGGTATCCTGGGAAGAGTAGAAGAAAGACCAAAGACCTGGTGGGATATTTAGACAGAACATGTCGGTAAAGTGGGTTGATATTAGGATGACCCAAGATAGAAATAAAAAATTACTATGACTTATCCTGTGAGAATATTGAGTGACATGATGCAGGTATACACCGGCTAAACAAGTATTGAGTAGAAACAATGTTTAAATAAAGAATTTGTTTCACATGTGAGTCCATTTTTACAAACCTGTTTGAAAATGTTTATATTCCCTATTAACAAGTTGTTGGCTTATATTTAGACCACAGAACTTGGTGCAGTTTAATGAAACGACAAGGCTTGGTATAAAGGACTCACTATTAAGTGCCAAGAAATTATGTTTTTGAAAACATTTAAATATTTTTTCAGCTAAATTGCTTATCGTCAAAATAGTAGAGTTTTGAAAAAGGTAAATTGATATAAAAATGTGTTTGTATCATAATTGTATATTTATTTGATACATTTATTAGGACAGCTCGTATATAGCATTAATGAAAAACACTAGATTGCAATTTCAACAAAGCAGTGTAAAAAATCGAATTGTTAACACCGTTCTCCATCTTCTACTTCAAAGTTGAGCCCATCTACGTCAGCATATTCAAACATCACGAATCGAACCTTAAAGCTAATGATAGGAATTAGCCGGTCGGTCGATCCACCGCTAATACATAGTTTAGTAACAAATTCAGCCTCCAGGGGCATAATTTACCAAATTACCCACCATAACACTTCAAAATAAACAAGAATACGGCCAACAACATGATCGTGTACTGTTTATTTAAATAAGTGCCAGCCGAGAGTTGCCTACCTCTTTTCTTTAACTGCTTTAAGTCATTAACGGATTTTATTTTTACGAATAATCAGCAAAGAGATTTGTAAGCGTCTGTCATTAAGCAAATTATGGTACATGATGAAAAGGAATACCTATATCTGTTTACAAAACATTTGCAATTTGCAATAAAAAGTACCCAGTGTGATGACAGATGAAGAGATAAGTATTGTTTCTAAATTTAACCAAGAAATTATAAGTCAGTATAAGCTAACAGAAAACTCCTTTGGAGATGTATTTTACAGCTCTGTAACATTTAATTCTGTTCACTCCAGGATTCCAGCTAGTTTGGAGTTTTCTAAAGCCTTGTTACTAGTACTAAATACCCTATATGTTATCATTTTTAAATTCATAATTTAAGTGCGTCTCTAACATGTTAAGGATATTACTGTATAGAGCATTTTAAAGAAACGCATCTGTAGTCACACTCTAATAACATTGGAAAACGTTTTGTCTCGTATATTATTTCCATTAATTTTTATTTTTTGATGGGTAGAATTTAAATATGCCCTCAAAAATGTACATTCGTGCAACTTACACCTCCAAACGACTAATGGCATTTGCAGAAAACGTTTGGTTGTATTAAAAGGCACGGTAAACTGCACTGGAGTTCTCCATAATCTTTTTAAGTACTTACTTTTTTAGAAAAATTTTTCCTGAATTATCAATTATTATTAGTTAATTTGTATAAAATGAGCGCAGATGACCTCGCTGTACTGGTAGTGGCTCTGGATGAGCCGATCTCAAATACCGGGTTCGGAGCGCAGGTCGCGTCGTAAAGAAGTAGATGACGCAGCACATACTGAAACTTGCGGCAGAGAAAACCAAAGCCATCATTCTGAAGGTGGCAAGTAACAGGCTAAGTATTGAATTGCAATGTGCGGGAGCACGTCTAATACCCAAGAAACAAGTAAAGGACCTAGGAATGACAGTGCATCAGAATGGAAAATGGAGGGAGCACGTGCGGGAGGTGATTCGGAAGGCTGCAAATAGTGCTGCTGCGTTGGGGAGGTTGATGCCCAACATTGGAAGAACCAAATCCGAAAGGAGGAGGGTGTTACACGGTGTTGTACAGCCGATCGTCCTCTACGCGGCACCAGTCTGGAGCGAGGAGGTAGAGATAACGGCCTATAGGAGGCTCATGACACAAGTGGACAGAACAAGTCTGTTGCGAGTGGCATGCGCTTACAGGACTGTGTCTGCGGCAGCTCTGTGGACCATCACTGGATGTCTTCCGTTCCATGTTTTGGCGGTGGAAAGAAAAGAGCTCTATGAGGGAAGAGGCCCAAACCTTACTGTGGCCGAGAGCAGACAGCAAAGAGAAAGGTCAATTGAAAGATAACAAGAAGAATGGAACAACACGGAAGTTGTGGCACAGTGTACGAAAATGCTAATCCCGAACATAAAAGATTGGGTGGACTGTGGCCAAAGGTGACTGGATTATTTTCTGACGCAGGTGCTCACAGGACACGGGTGTTTTAGGGCCTACCTCTCTAGGAGCGGAAAGGCTGACATAGATGAATGCCTATACTGTATATACTCTGACACTGTGATACATACGATGTTAGATTACAGCAGATGGATAGTGGAAAGGAACAGAATGCAGAGAGAAAGACAGGTGTGAATTTTGTTACAGTGAGAGAAATGATTGAGAGAATGATTCAAAATAAATCATGTTGGACTAACATACACAGCTATATCCGAGCAGTGACCAAGATAAAGGAAGAGGAAGAAAGACAGCTTGTCCAACGGCAAAGATAAGAGTGAAAGATGCTGAAAGTTGAAGCTAGGAAATTGGGTCAGACTATATGAGTTAGAATGCGTGTGTCAGACTGTGGGAAAGGAGGAAATGCCCGTCTGGGAATGATGCCGAAC